TCAAGCAGAAGCAAAAGTTCCCCTTAATAACACCCTATGTACTTTTCAATGAGGCAAAACCCAGGATTGGCTGCTGGACCCACAGTGCCAGGACCACTTTCCTCTCCCTGGCTCCGTGTGTGTTCTGATCAGGTGAGCAGTAATAGAAAGAGCAAACTAGAGCCAACGTGGGGATTCTTGTAGGCTCACAGGTATAGTTGAAATCTTTTTTCTTAAAACTCAAAGTGTTTCAACTGCAGAACCAAATCCACTATCATGAAAAATTCAGCAAAAACAACTTTGAAGATTGTGGCTTACAAATTTATGTTTTGAATCTTTTGTCATTTTGCATTTAAATTAGTTTATCTTTAGTGAGATCTTATTGATTTGCACATGCCTTGAAGTAATATGTGCTGCAGTGTGAATATTTCAGTAGAGTGAGTGAGACCTTTCTCCATTCACTTGGTTTTCTAAACAGTTTGGCTTCCCCCCTCCTTCACCCCCGTCCCAACTGCCTGCTACCAAATTGTAACAGATAACTAGAGAATTCCCTGTCTTATAAATAAAATGCCTCTTTCTGGCTATACATTTATGAAGTTTTCTTCTGAGAATTTATCATAATAGCTTCAGCTATTCCAGTGTTTGATACATGTAGTATTAATATGAAAAAATCCTCAGAACCCTCAGAACCCTTCTTAAAGATAGAAATGCATATAGTACATACAGCAATTTACTACATAATCTCTCACCATTCCCAGGATGCTCTTCTGGAATATCAAGAAAGGCCATGTTGCTAGGTTCATGGCTTCTTTTCCTCCTTTGATATGACTGTTTTGCTTTCGAATGGACTACAGGACATAGTCCTAGTGTACAGAATTTGGCAGGAAGAGTTTGAATTTACTTTGGATTGAGGAGTGAAGGTGGAAAAATGAATGAAATCAAATATTTAACCCCTTTACAGAACATGAGATCTTCTCATAATACGGAGGAACCGTAATAGTAGCTGTTAGCTCTTCCCGCAATGAAGATTGGCCTCTCAGATTGTTGTGAATTGTCACACAAATTTATTTGTGGAAAAACCCCTCATTTGCAGCACAGTCCCTTCAATGAAGACTGAGGCATCTAAGCACAGCACTACTGACCCTTACTCATTACATATAGCAAATTTTTAAATTTAAGTTTGGCTCTATGCTTATCTCTACATTCTACTTCATTTTCCTCCTAAATATCTGATCAAAGGAAAGCAAAAATTAGGGACAATCAGCCTTGCCATCTCTCTTCTACTTCCCACTGGCAGCTTCTGACAGGCAAGGGGGAAATCTCAGTCAAACCTTTTTTTGGCAAACGGAACGGATTTCCAGAATAGATACTTTTATCCCATGAGCTAAAGGTCCAGTTGTATACTGACCACAAGCATGCATATGTCCATGTACACATGCGATGTGTGTGCATACACATGTGAATGGTAGACAGATACATAGTCATGTCACATATACGCCTGCATTCGTGATTAAAAAGCATGCGGTGCTTTGCTGTGTGTCTGCATGTGCTGACATGTACACTGAGAGGAAGGCTACAGAATGAATGTGTGTGCAGTGAAGAGCAACCTGTGCTCCTTGTGGTGGAGAGATCCCTAAAGCCAATTTCTAAATACTGCCAGCCCAGCTACCAGCCTGTGGAAATTTTAGCTGAAGGAGCAGGGTAATGAAACCTGAATTCCTAATGAGAGAATCAACTTAAATTTTTGCTCAAGGTCCTTAATGAACATGGAGATACGCAGATCCAGTGAGAGACGCGTCCTTCGTGCAGGCCACGCCATATTCTGACATCACACATGTAAGGAACAGTTGCTGGAAATCATAGGCACGTGGCCATTCCAAGGCAACCCAGGCTGCATTTTATCGTGGGGCATTTTGTGTGTTTTGGTTTAGAGAACAGAGCTTCTGGAGGGCAGAAGGCATGCAATTCTCTTAAATATAAGTAATTGAATGCTTGAAACTTTGAACTGGAATGTGCTCATTAAACTGACTAGTTTCAAGTATAATTGGGGAGGCTTCAGCTCTCACTTGTTTCTATTGGGAAAGTTTTGCCCTTTAGGCTTCCAAAAAAAAAAAAAATTTCATTCCAAGAAGGAAGGGCAATTGGGGCTACACATTTTCTGATCAGTGACTGAGGTTTAATTATCTCTTCTAGTCTGATGCTAGAACGGATGCTCAAAGAAATGAAACTCTTGGCCCATCAGCATAACTTGGTATCAATTTTGCAGGAAGACTTTCAAAGGGAAACTCCATTTCGGGGAATGCTTCTCCTTTGTGCCAGAGGATTTTCTCCCCATCTTCCTCCCTTGTGACATTGGAACGGCCTGAACCTAACTCAGAGGATTACCTTACAAAACTGGAGTTCAAGTACACATGGAGGGCCAGCATACTGGTTGAGCTAGCCACCACCATTCCCAACGGGTCAATAGTTCAGACACACAGCGTTTTTGTGGGAAGCAGCTGCCTGCATCAGTGTTCTTTTGGGAGCGTACTCAGCCCTTGGTTAGGCTTCCTTAGGCTTCTACAGTATTGTAGCAGGCCTCCAAGGGTGCACTCAGGGAAGGAAAATCCCAGCCCCTCCGGCATTCTCAATCTCTCTGGAATGTTCAGGAACTCCCATTTGATCCACCAGGAAAGGCAAGCATACTTTTTGAGGTTGTTTCACACCTCATCATCCAGGAGCAGGGAAGGTGCTCAATCCCAACTCAGCCTGATATGCCTTGCCCACAGCTCCTCTTCCTGTGACATCACCACTCCCAGCTGCGGCCCAGCACCACCCAGGCTCTCTGCCCCGCAAGTCCGACTGCCTGGCCTTTGACCCTGAACCAAGGGTATCCGCAGCCGGCTGGGTTCAGCTACAACACAGCCCCTCCCCAGGCAGGAAGGGAGTCTGGACTGGTTAGGTCTCCAACTAACTCATGGGATTCCTGGCGCCCAGGCACAGATGCTCATTGCTATTCTTTCTCCGTGCAACACGTGGGGGTGGGAATGAGGCGGGGAGGTGGGGGGGACGACGACGCAGTCTCATATCTCCTGGTATTATCTGCCGTCCAAAGCATTTTCTTTGAGAGGAAAATGGAAACGCAGCTGCGCTGTGGGTCCGGCCAGCGCGAGCCCGGGCTCCCTCCCTCCGCCTGTCCGCGCCCGCCGGGCTCAGGCGGCTGCTCCGGAAGCGGACTTGGGTAGGGGCGCTCTTGGGGGGCTGCCCTAACCAGGCGTGGGACACTGCTGGCGATGACTCGCCTTTGTGCGTCCCCGCTGCTGCCCGAGACCACCGAGGTGGGAGGGCGCGTCTCGGGTTGCGATCCCCTGTCCGCGTGCAGGATGCAGGACCAGGCGTCTCTGTCACACTCTGGACCTCAGCAACTTCTTGCCAGTTCATCAGGTTCCGTCCAGGTCCCTGCACACCGGCTGCGCCCCAAGCTCAAAGGGTTAAGCCAATTGGCCAAGGGCCCCGGCGCTGAGCCCAACGCTTCGCTGAGCCCAACTTCAGTTTGCGCGGAGGGTCCTCCGACCACTGGGTCTCGGTGTGCGGGGCATGGAAGGGAGGAGAAAACTAGAAAGAGAAACCAGTAATGGTGCGGGGGTGAGGAGGCTCGAAGGAAAAGGAGCCCTAGCCCAGCATCCCGCAAGGCCTGCACACCCCTTGAACCCATTCTCCCACCTCCTGTCCCTGCATCTCTTTCCCCCATTTCTCTGGGAAGAAGAAAGGGGAGGAAGTGGGACAACCGGGATCCCGTGCCGGGGCGGGAGGGGGGGAGCAGTGGACTCCTTCCGGCCCCCCACCCGGCAGCACGGCGGGCAAAAGGAGTCTTGGACGCGAGAGGCGCTCCCGAACCGCGCACACCCCTTTCACATCCCTCCTGGAAACGCGGGTGCCACAATGTGGCGAAGTAACTGGGGAGGCGCGAGCAAATAAACGCACGTGTTTTCTCTTTTTGTTTCCCTGGTGGTAGGAATTTGCAGAGTTGGGTTCAATTGTGGCTGTTCATTTATTCGATCTCCTTGGTCCAAAGGGGCACCGAGGTGGGGCCCGGATCCCCGCAGCCGGACAGCCGGTCTCGGACCTTCCAAGTTTGTTGGGGACCGAGCCGACCGACCGCGCGCCCAGCAGGAGCGGGAAGAACCCGTTCTGATAAAGGAAGCAAACTCTCCACTGCACAAAAGCCGCTTCTTCCCACCCGCCCCTCCCACCCTGCTTTTCGCAAAGCGTCTCCCCTCGCCAAGTATCAAGTTCTCTGGGAACCCAAGTTGCGCTCGGCAACCCTGGCGTGGCCGGGCGTGCGGAAAGGCTGGCGCACAGGGGTCCCGGCTGGGAGGGGAGACTCTGTGCCCCCAGGACTGAACGCGCGGGCTCCAGTCCAGGTGGCTGGAAGCCTCCAGCCTGCCTGGCTGTCGGCTATTTCTCTAGAGAAAGAAGGGGAGTGAGTGCATCTGTCTTTGCACTTTGGGTCGGAAGTGCGCGGCGAGTGTGTGTGTGTGTGTGTGTGTGTGTGTGTGTCCGCGCGCGCGCGCTGAGGGGGCGGGAAAAGAACGCACCCCCCACTGACCGTCATTCCCTTGCACCGGCCAAGTCCTCGCCAAGCCTCCCCTCCTTGCCTCAGCTGGGCTCGCGCGGCGCAGCCGGAGCAGCCAGCGAGAGCAACATCCTGCAAAGAGAGGGGAGCGCCGCGACCCCCCAAAAGGGAAAAAAGGCCCCACCCTGACACGTTGGGCTGTTAGCAAGTCCCTCGCACGCCCCCCGCACCTCCTCCTCCCTGCGCTCCCGGCCCCCCCCCAGCCCGCTGCGCGCACATCAAAGCGCCTCTCCGCCGCGCACAGTGGCGGCGGCTCACTAATGGGATTGCAGGCTGGTGCCTGGCTCCGCTGCTGCCGCCGCCGCTGCTCGCGCCGCTGCTGCTGCTGCCGCTGCTGCCGCCCGAGCCCGAACCCCCCGCTTCCCCGAGCCCAGAGCCGCCGCACCCGGGGGCCGAAGCCGCGGCGATGATCCGAATCTTTCCGGATTTCAGCGTGCAGGTGACGGCCGCGGCGGCCGGCGGGGCGGCCGCGGGGGTGCCGGCCGGCGCGGGCATGGGGCGGGCTGGCGCCGCGGCCAACGGCACTCCGCAGAACGTCCAGGGCATCACGTCCTACCAGCAGCGGTGAGTAGTTCCGACTGGACTGGGGAGGGGGTGCTCCCGCCCTGGGGTGCTAGCGTGGGACTCACTTTGCCCCTGTTTTGTGTCTGGCGACACACATACAACATCGCCAGGGCTCACTTTGCCTGCCCCTGGTTCTTCCAGAAGAGGAAGGGAAACGATCATAATAGTAATAATAATAATTCACGCCCTGGACTGGAAAGCACTACAGTGCATCGTCGCCCCTCGCCTTGTGCCTGGCGCGGAATGCAGGAGCATAAGCCCGGAGTAGCGGAGGGAGTTGCAGCCAAGTCTGAGAGGTCGCACGAGGTGCTTTCTGCAAAGTTTGGGATCCCGGTCTCGAAACCCCGCAGAATTTCCTCATCGCCTCTGTGGGGCGCGGACCCGCGCCCTTGGGCAGCCGGTGGGAGGAAGGGGGCATTGATCAACCGGGGCTCATGGATCATTTGTTCCCAAACAGAAGGGGGACAATTTTCACGTGTATCGGTAGCCTTGCCATTTCTACATAATGGTGTTATCATGTCACCTGTTACTAGAGGGAAATACAGCACGAAATCCGACTTGGTAGCCCTGTGAAATATTCATCTTGAACGCATCCTAATGCAAAGGTAGCACGATTCAGAGATAGGAAGCAAATTTCACGAAGTTAGGCTAGGTGGTGAGAGGGAAGTTTTAAAGTATGATTTAGCATTTCTCTAATGTCTGTTTACTGATCGCTTTCAAAAAAAATGATGGATGTGACAAGTGAAGCAGGGAGCATTCTTTGACTTGGTTAGGAAGGCAGGGGGAAATTTCACCACCACCATCATCACCACTGGTTCTAGAAACCCCAAAGTTTTCCCTCAAGGACAACTTTGCATATTCCATGGTGTTAAGAAAAAGAATGTCATTCCCAAACCTGCACTGAGAAAGACGAACAATGCCATGTGAGAGGTGAGCTCAGCATTACACAAGATGGAAGGAAAAAGACATAGGAAAGTGTGAAATTAAATATTTGTGTTTCCCAGATTGCACACGATTAAACATCTGAGAGATCTGCCAATGGCATTTAACTTAAAATATACACAATGCATAATTCAAATAGCAGTTCCTATTTTTACCTTGTATTTCAAACTTCATTGATTTGAGAACCTTTGATTGGAACCAACAGTATTTAAACTGAAAAGGTTACAATAATCTATCACTGCCATATTTTGTGCCTTCTAACCAATGGCCCAGTGACCAAAGCCGATTTTGCATAACACACTGAGTGTCTTCCAAGTTGATACCCAGTATTGCAAGTATTCCTTAGAAGACTTCATTATATGCCGTGCTTAGTGCTGGAAATTCTCAAAGGACTCTAAAAATAATTTGAAGAGGGACTATGCCTTGGCAAAAAGATTTATTTTTTTTAATTTAAATGATTTTAGTCTTGCTTTACTTCAGTGATTACAAGAACCTGTAACACAAAAGAGCTGGGCATCTTTCAAACATAGAGGACTAGAAAGGATTGAAAGATTCCTCCCCCTCCTTCCTTTCGTGGCTCAGGTATGTGTGCGTGTGTTTGTGTTTTATAAGACAGCTCAGTGACAATGGAATCTGACCAGCAGTATTGGCAAGTGCGAGCGGCAGTCTCAACAGTGTGCTCTGCGAGGTAGAAGTCCAGGCTCAGAAGTGTCCGAACCCCTTTGCAGCACTCCTGGGGCCTCCTGAAGATCTGGAGCCAGCTAGAGGGCAGAAACTGCGTGGGGGCAGGAAGGTGCTGCAGTCTAGGATGTCCAACCTTTGCTTTGCTGGGACTGCTGGGGTGTCTTTGCAGCTCCCTACAGCTCTCCATACAGGAGCCATCAGGGATAGCACCCCACATTGATACCTCCCTCTCAAAGTTGAGTGGGTAGGCACTTCTGCCCTCAACTTGGCCTGGGGGTTACTTGTCAAGCCTCAATTACACTGCAGTTCTTCGGATTAAGGCTTTCAAAGACATCAACCTAAATTTTGGGCATCAGGATGTTATTATTCCTCTATGCACTTGTGCACTTTCCTTGTCCTGTTACTTTGACAGCAGAGAGTGTGAAAGCTGTGAAAAAGGCAGCCTTCAGCTGGGGTGACACCTGTTACTGTCCTTAGTTGCAGGAAACTTGCCAGCGAGAAGAATGAATCTTACGGGCAAGCAAATTCCTGGCAGGTGTTAGAGTTCCGGTGTGAATCCGGAAGCCCCTGTCCCCCTACAGCACTTCATCAGGACTCTGGATCAGTCCCTGGCTGTTGGTACCTCCAGGCCCCAAGTGAGGTCGCAGCTATGTTTGCTAAACTGAATGGGGACACTCCATAGAAACGATGTTTTCCAGGACTTTTGGAAGTCTGACTCGGGGGTTGCCAGCAGCAAGACAGTGGCCTGTTGTCACCCTGGGGCTGTAGGCGGGCTGTCCTGGACACCACCATTTCCAGCCAGGGACCTGGCCCCTCCCTGCCCACGCCAAGGTTCTCCAGTTCTCTTCTCAGCACCTCTTCTGTTCTTCTGCCTGTAGAGTGCAGGTCAAGGCGAACTTGCACCCAGCGGGCAGACACCACATCTCTGCCATTAAACACACCTGAGCTTTTGTACCAAATTTGCTACTCCTGGCCCCACTTGGTGGGGTGGAAGGATGCCCCCTTTCAGGTCTGTCTGTATTTTCTGCTGAAGTTTAGAGGGAAATGCAAAGCCTCCCACAGGACTGCTGTTGGCCGGCAGGCTCATTTCATTCACTCCAAGTGGCAGTGCTCTCTGGGAAGCCGGCCTGGTTGACCCATGACCGGCCCAAGTCTCTGCGGACACAGCTGCCTCACAGGCTCACAGACCCGGGTCCGCCCCAGGGATCAGGGCTGGCCCCAAACGCTGAGGGGCTCTTGTTGTAGGCCTCACTCAACCCTAACAGGGGCTGAAGGTGGGGGAGAGGCAACAGAGACTGGCAGTCCAATCTGAGGACTGGAGTGTGGACAGCTAACCGTGTCTCCAGGCGTGGGTATGCACACGTACAGCCAGGGGTCCCTGGTTCGCTCCGTGCATGACTGGGGCTGACACTGGTGCTCAGGGGAGGCTGCAGATAGCAGCAGGGGACCCCCACGCAGCATCCACCCACACTCACTTCCGCTGCCCCCAAGGCGCTCCTGGGATGCTGCTGTCCTGCCCCAGTTCACTCCCGTGGCCTCCCAGTTCCTCTTTCGCTTTCTTTCTTTCTCCTGGCTGCGATCCTCCATACAAGGGAAGTGTTCACAACTGCAACTGAGTGGCGTTGTTGCGCCAGCAGCCAAGCTTCCCGGTCCCCTCGAAGAGAGAGAGAGAGAGAGAGAGAGAGAGAGAAAAAGAGAGAGAGAGAGAGAGAGGAAGGGGGTGTGTGTCTGCTTGGAGGAGCGCTCTGGAGCAAGCAGCTGGAAAATGCCCAGAAATACTTTCACAGCGGTCAAGCTGGGAGCCCCCAGCGTGTCCTCCCCGTCCCCGCCCCTCCGGGCCTAGGCCCGACCGCCCCCGCCGGGAGGGCGTGTGAGTGTGAGTGTGTGTGTGTGTGTGTGTGTGCGTGTGTGCGCGCGCGCCCCACCTGTCACCAGGCCAGCGCCGGCGGGGGCGGGGGCCGTCCGAGGCGGCGCGCGAGGCTGGGAAGCCGGAGGCGGCGGGGCCCTGGGCCGGGCGGTCTGCGGGGCCGCGCGGCCGCCTCCCCCCGCCGCCGCCGCCGCCGCCGCCTCCCCCCGCTCGTCCGCCGCCGGCCGCCTGTCTCCGCGCCGGGCATGTCTCGGGAGCCGGGGCGGCCCGGGCCGCGGGTGCTCTGCGGCGCATGGACGGGGGAGGAGAAGGCGCAGGCGGCAGAGGCGGCGGCGAGCTGCGGCGGCGGGGAGCGGCGGCGGCGGCGCGAGGGGCCGGCCGGCCGGCGGCCCGCCTCGGGCCCCACTACTTTTCCGTAGCCTCCGTGCCTCAGCGACGCGGCCGCCGCCGCTACGGCCCCGGCCGCCCGCCCGCCCGCCGGGCCGCCACCGCCAGCAGCGGCACCGCGCGCCGCGCACGCCCGCACCCACTCCCGCCGCCCCACGCACACGCACACCCCCGCCCGCCCCGCGCCCCCACCCCGGGAGAAGGGGGGGGAGAGAGAGAGAGAGAGAGAGAGAGAGAGGCAAAAAGTAAGAGAGGAAAAAAAATAGCAGGAAGATGGCGCCCACCAAGCCCAGCTTTCAGCAGGATCCTTCCAGGCGAGAACGGTAACACTTTTCTGTTTATTGAACCTGCCGCCCGGGCCGCTGCTCCCGCCGCCCGCTCGCCCGGCCGCCGGGGTGGCGGGGCCCGTTCCGCCGCCCGCCTCCTGGGCCGCGAGCCCGCGGGGACCGCGTCGGGGGCTTTGCGGCTCAGCAGCGCCCGCCCGCCCGCCTCCCGCGCGCATTGTCCGCCCGCGGCGGCTGCGGCAGCGAGCGGGCTCTGGCGGCGCCGGGCTGTGCGAGCAGTCGCACCCCCTCGACTCGGCGAATGGAGTGACTCGCCAGAAAAAGAAAAAAAAAAAAAAGAAAGAAAAAAGGAGAAAGAGAGAGAGATAAAGAAATGCAAAAGAAAAAAATAAAAGGCCAAAAAAAAAAAAAAAAAAAAGAGGCGCTGCAGTGTGGCGGCGGCGGCGGCGGCGCGGCGAGGGTGGGGGGCCGGGATCCCCGGGGCCGCCGCTGCTCCCCTGGCAGCCGCTCCCGAGGAAGGGCACGAGCTGGGGAGGGGGAGGGCGGGCGGCGACGGGGGCGGAGGCGGCGGGGCCGGGGGCGGGGAGCCAGGCCCGGGGTGCGGCGCGGGGGGCCGTCTCCGCGCCCTGCACTAGGCCCGGCCGCCGCGCGCGAGCTGCGCGCCGCCCGGGGCTGCGCCCGTGGCAGCCTCGGCAACTTGGGGTCCCCAGCTCTGTCCTCCCTTCCCTCTTCACCGCCCCCTCCTCGCCACGGAACCCCAAGATTAAAAAAAAAAAAAAAAACTCGAAGCAAACCCCTGTGGTCCAGAGCAAGCCCACGGTCGGAGAGCTCTCCCC